TTGGATGGGGTGTTGGGCAAGCTGGGCTAGTGGAGGGTGTCCCTGCCCATGGCAGGGGTGGCACTGGGTGGGCTGGGAGGTCCCTGCCCACCCAAACCACTCTGGGGTTCTGTGGTTCTATATGGTTGATAAAGTAGCTGTTCTACAGTCTGTTCTTTTTGGGAGAAAAAGGACACCGTTCTTAAAACCATTGCATCATCTACTTGGGTTGCTCTCTAAGACATTACATTTCTTCTTATGGCAACTCACCTGCTGCTGGTAACCACCGAGAGAGCGGCAGCGTGCGCAGAAGTAAGAGGTTAAGGATAAAATATGTTCAGAGTCTCCTCAGACACCAGGGTTCTTGTGTCAATTACTCGTATTGAGTGGCTGCTGGTACGGAAGTCGGGAAGCATCGCCTTGCGGGGGTGATGCCGACCCCACGGCTGCGCGGATGCCCCCACCTGCTTTATTTGCGTCACAGCATTTAAACTGGGCTGTTAGAGGCAGAATTATAAATTTCCTCGTTAGTGGTTTTTTATGTCTCGCCCGGCCAATAAGAGACAAATATATGAGTTATGTTATCCGTAATTTTTAAGATCTGTAGCAAGAGTATTGTCTCCTTTTATAACAAGGAGCTGAAGCTTATATTTTTGGAGCGTCAGTTTTGCCACAGATCATCTCATTTTTACTATTTATTCTGAAAAATCACCGCTGCTTATTTGTTAGGAGTCTTCTTCCCTCTGACTTCAGTTTCATCTGAACACCGTGTGGTCTTGTTTGCTGGGTCCTTCATCCGGCGATGGCACATATCTGGTTTCTGGTGACAAATTTATTTTAAAAATATGCTTTTTAACTTGTCGGCCTCGGTGTGCCTTTGCCACACACACACTTGTTGCTTTTGCAACACCGGAGGCTTCAACCAGCAAGAGGGTTCAAGCTATGGGGTGCTTTGGGTTTTTTTCGGTGAATTATAACGTCGCTGGATTTGAGCAGGTTTTAGATGAGAAGGCAAGGCTGCACCCGCCCGTGTCAACCTCCTCCTGCAGCAATGAGAGCGAAACCTCGTCAAGGAAAACATTGCAATTATCTGTGAGGTGCAGGGTAGTTGTCTTTAGCATTTTTCTCCAAACTGGCCTGTTTTGTCTAAAGTCACCTGGAGGCAGATTGGTGCCATAAACACGGAGTGGCCGAAGCCCGGCATCCGCGTGAGAAGTGCCGGGCCACCCCGGGGTCCCTCCTCCACGCAGCGCCTCGGGAATCCCGACCATCCCTCCTTCTGCCGGCCGGAGCGCATCTGAAGGACACTTGGTATTGCTGTTACGGGAGACGTAAGCACCGCTTATCAAGTTTGCTCTTTCACAATTGACATCTGTAAAACCCCAGACAAAATTCTGGAGTTTGCCGCTTGTGGGTTGCGGAGTCATTTGTTTTCTCTGGCGCGCCTAGATGTGAACGATTTCTTCTGGTCACTCTTAGAAATTGCGAAGCGGCGGTGCCTTGCGGTGTTGTGAACTGACACGTACAAAAAGGTTGATTTCCACCATTAAAAACATACTCGGTGAGTAACGGATGGTAAGCTGGGCGTGAGGATGGTCGTACAAAATGGCACGGCGCAGCAGGCAGAAAGTACCCGATCGCAGGGTTATGCCTTCGAGTTTGTCAGTGGGAGACGCCAGAGTGGAATGTCCTTCCCTCTCTCCTTCAAGCCCCTGTCCTCCTTTTCCCCCAGGAGTAATTCGGCTCTGAGTGCTGACTCAGCAGAGCTGAATTTTCTCCGTCAGCGAGCAGCACGAGGAGCAGGAGCTGCTGCGGCGGCCGGAGGAGCAGCCCTGCTCGGGGCAGAGCGGCCGCCCTGCTCGGGCTCCCAACAAAACGTCTTTGACGTGTCTTTCAGAGGTTCGTTGCCATGCTTGGGGAAACAAGCAAACTGAAAAGTTTCTTAAATAATTCTTGCAGACTAATGAACAAATTTGATTAAAATTTGGCAGCTTTTCCTAATATTCCCTGTAACTAGGAAATCTTCCCAGGCAGTTCTCTGCTCTGTATGGCAGAGAGTGGCCTCGTAATTAAAGGATGAATGAAAGCAAAGGGTTGTTACGTGAATCGAGGCAGCGCAGAAGGAAACGACCCTTCTGTAATCCCTTGGGGCTGTGTACCCCGCTATGTCCGAGGCTACGAGAGATGGAACCTGGGTGATGGTCCTGTTGCCCGACATGGGAAGGTTCCCTGCCCAGCTCTCCTGGGTTTATCATCATTATTATTATTTACAGATGCAAGTCGCTTAACCTCTATGCGTGCTACCCTGCGGTGTAGCTCCATCTGCTTCGTGATGCTACATTTCTGGTTTACATTTAAAAAAAAGAAAAAAAAGTCCTTTTTGTTTTGTAGAACCTTAATGTACTCTCTGATGATTTTGTGCGTTGAAGTTATTCATTCCAAATTTCTTGTATAGTAGCCTGTATTTGATTAAGTACCAAGAAATAACTTGAAATTTGTGTTGTCATTAGTTGAGAAGTGTGGAAGCTGCTGGAGTTTAAATCCTGACACCTGGGAAGTTGAGGTTGGTTGAGGAGCCGCGTTAGGTTCCCTGAGCACGAATTCACGTTGCTGCACGGATGCCGTGATACCAAACGAGAGGTTTACTGTTGCCGCTGAATTAGCTGAAATAATAACAACAGGTAGTAGATGAAAGGTAAATTCCAACGGAGGGAGGGTCGCCTTGATGTCGGAGATATTCGAGACTGGCAGGATACAAACTGAAGCTGTCCCGGGAGCAGAGAGCAGTGCGTGGGCAGAGGGTTGTTATTCAGAAACAAGTCTTTTTTCTATGCCTAGGATGCTAAACCCAGTGCTGCAAAACATTTAGTATGACTTGGAAGCTAAATGGCTAGGGATGGGCTAATGCAATGCAAGAAAAAAAAAAAAAGCTGCTAAACTTGTCCTGGAGTCAGAAAAATAACTAACAACAACAAACCGTCCTGCTGTTGAGCATCGCTGGGGCGGGCGGAAAGCAAGATTTTATTTTGTTTCAGCGGTGGCGTTTGTACCAGAATTGAACTTTCCTTTGAGAGTCCGCTTTCAACACTGACAAGCAAGAAAATGTGCGATATAAATAGTAATTTTTCCAAAGTTGTGGAAAAGAACCTTTTATTATTGTTGAAATTGGTACACTATTTTCTGATGGGCCCTTAGCATGCGCCGCAGCATTGCAATCTGTTGCGTTGTTATAAAAAGAAGCATCCAACACAGATAGGCTTTATTTTAATCCCCAGATGACAAAGGAAAAGGCATAAATTTGTGATGGGTTGTTTGCACCGTATCCTTCATAAAATTCAAATGCCGCAGGAATTGCAGGGGAGGACAGCTCATAGCAGGGTAGCTGTACAGCAACACCGCCGAGAATTAGGGTTTTAAAAGCTATTCATAGGGAAATGGCCTCTGGCACGTCTCAGGGTGCAGAGCAGCGTGATGGTGCTGCTGTAGGATTTGAAAGGTTTAGGGAGAAAACTTGGTGAAGCTGCTACTCAGTGTTTTGCTACATCATTTGCTTTGGAGGGCAGTAGTTACCCTTCCGCTGGTGGCTGGACAATAGAATCCTAGCATCTGTAAGGTTGGAAGAGACCTCTAAGATCATCAAGTCCAACCGTCAACCCAGCACCACCACCAACACATGCTTTAGAGACTGGTTTGGCGTGACATGACGGTTTCCACACTACGGAGGGTTGGTACGATCCACGCACGTGAGAACGAGATTTCGGTGTTCCCGCTTTGCTGCGGGACCTTTCCCGTTAGCGGTCTGGCTTCCCGCGGAGACCTGCGACGCGTTGGACGTGGGCAGAAAAAAAGGTCAAGAAGAAACGGCCGTAACCACAGGGAGAGCTTGGAAACAGCGCCCTGCTTCAGGAGAAGTCATAGTGTCAAACCTGGAAGAGGTCAGAACTTCACCGTTAGCGTTCCAGCAATTTAATGACTTGAAAGATGGGAAGGTTTGCTATTTTAATTAAACAGGGAGTTTCGTTCATCGGCTGTCTTTCTTTTCCCACTGGAATAATAGGAGAATTTGGATGCTAACGGCATCTGGATGAACCTGCCCTGTTTCAGGGAGAAATCTTCCTTCCTGTCGATATTCTGGTTTGGGGGGAATCTTCCAGAAACAGCCAACCTGTAACTGTCTCAGTTCTGTCTCCTCCTGCTACTGTGTTGAGTAATACAAAACCAAAATTATATCTTTAAAAACCCCCTCAAACTTAAGAAGTCTCTCTTCCTCTTTTTTTTTTTTCCCCCCAGTGAAACCAGAAGAGACCAAACCAGTTGAAGCTGTGACAGGGAACGACATCACAGCGCCTCCCAACAAAGAGCTTCCTCCCAGCCCTGAGAAGAAGACAAAGGTAGGTGTCGTTTCACGTTCAGCGTCTCTGCTTCTGTGTTCTTCATTTGCCGGCTTTTCTGCTTCTGAAGCTGTGGCAACACAAGTTCTGTTTTCTGAGCTGCCATTTTACCGAAACAAAGACATCCAGTTAGGAAGTTGAAAACAAACGACTCGGCCCGTCTCAGTGTGACTGAACACGGATGTAATAAATGCGTGGTGAGCTTTATTTAAATTACCGTTCCCTGGTCAGGATCGGTGGTGTAGAAGTGGTAAACACGTATGATAACGCTTCTGCCACACTGATACTCTCCTAGTTGTTTACAGCACGTGTATTTGCATTACAATTAGCATTCAGAGCCCTCGCTCAGGATCTGATACTCTCTTATTTTAGGGCTGTTTCTGAAACACGAGAGAGCCCCGCTTTCAGCAGCTCGCAGCATTCGGCAAAATCTACCCCCAGATTCTAGTACTGCACGCAGGACTAGATGCCAGGAACACCCAATTACTAATCCCGGCTTTACCAGCGATTCCTTCTGTTGCTTTGGATGTCGCTGGAATAAATCCTGTTCATTTTGAGTTGAATGGCAAAACTCCACTGGGCTCCGAAGGCAGCCCTCCTCTGCTGCTTCATTTTGGTCTTTTTGTTACGCTCAGAAAACAGAAAGCTAATTATTTTTTTGTTTGATTCATTTAAAATATCATTTTTATGTTCTTGCAGCTCAAAAGTTTTGGTTTACAATGCGCTATTTTTCGTTGTATTTTTTTGTTGTTGTTTTTATACTGGATTTTGCTTTTTGAAAAAACATAAAGCCTGCCGCATCCACATCATCTACAAAGCCTGCCGCACCGAAAGCCAGGCCCCTGTCCGCTACCAGCCCCAAACGGCCAGCCTCTGCCACGCCTGGCCCAAACAAAAAACCCACGAGCCCTACCGCAGGTCCTACTGCAGCCACCACTACTAAACGCCCAGCCACCAGTACTACACGTCCCTCCACCTTAACTCCAAAAGAGACTAAACCAAAGGTAAGAAACGACTTGCTTTTGTCTGGGAGCTCCGAGAACTTATTTACGTGTTAACGTACCAGCTGTCTTACCCAAGAGTCAGAACGTAATTCTAGTGCTAATCATGGGAGGGAGAGATCAGGAGCGTCATTCACTGTGTTACGAGAGCTGCGGTTAGTAGTATCAGCTGCCATTAACCCACTTACGGCATCAGATCCCAAGCGTTCAGTTGTGTCATCGCAGAGGAGAAAACTTGACTCCGTTACCACGATTTCCCTTGTGAGCTGTCGTGAAGTACACAAGATAATTCTTTATTTCTTTCCGTTACTAAAGGAGGAGGGGGTTTTAAATAGCCATGCACTACAAACATGGGATAACTCTTAAATCCGGGCAGAAGCATAGAAAAAGCGAATAGAGAGCTGCGATATTAATATCGAGGGGCGGAAAAATCAGTTTGAACGCTTCAGTATTTCCCACTGATTGTCTCTTTATGATGTCCGGCCTTTAGAAAAACTGCAGAAGGATAACAGATAATACACTGATGTGCTTAGGAAATATTGGAGATTTATAATGCTCCAGTAAGAGAAGATTTGTTAGAAGATTGTTAGTGTCGCATCCTAAAGCTGAAGTAGGGTAACCACACAGAATGTTAAGAACGGGAAACGTCCCTTGAATTTTCCCAGTGTTAACTTATTGTATAGTAGAAGAATTCAAAATGTTAAAACCTATTTCAGAAGCTTTCCATCGATGGAATGCTAGGGTTGCTACTACGTGCTTAGCTTAAATAACTGCATTTGGGTGTCTTTTAAAACCAACTACCTAAAAATAACAGAAAGGGTACGACAGCACAGGCGTAAATCTGGACCTTTTCTGTGAACCAGCGTCTTCAGTTTTGTTGAAGTTTTTGCATGATTGTGAATCCCTTTCTGATGAAATCCAAATCTCATCTCACTTGTTTCCATGCATTAACTCGATGTTTTAATACTTAAGAGATCAGTCAGTTTACAAACAAGTGACTTACCGGGGACAGGCACGAAACAGATTTCCAAGTGAGGAATAAAACCACAGGCACCGAATTCTTATGTCCACGGTGTTTTAATAAACGTCGCCTTAGCTTAGGAAGCATTTCTCCTCAGGAAGGAGAGACATCTCTCCCAGAATTATTGCTAGTGGAGTGATGTTTCCTATTTTGTTCAGAAATCAAACCCCCATTCACATCTGTAAGTGGCCTCCGCACAGTGATGCTGGAACGGGTCTGGATGGATTCGGACTTTTTTTCAGCAGGGTCTGTGCTCTGTGTCCTGCACCGACTACGGTCGGTCACTTCAGCTTGCCTTAACTGTATTTTTAATCTTCCGCATTATAATGTTTCAGCGGTCCCTAGCTTACATTTTGAAGAATTTAAACAATTTCTATTTATTTCAGGCTTTTTGTTGGCAAACGCTTTGAAGAGACTGCCAGTGCGATACTGGCTTTAACGTAGCCTGTTCATTTTCAGGTTGCAGATGTGAAGACCACAGACAAGCGGACCTCACTTTCAAAGCCTCCATCATCTGCCTCTCCTAAAACTACCGTCAGGAGCACCTCTGCTACTCCTAGGACAACGGCCGCATCGCCCGTCTTCTGCTGCCGCGAAAAATACTGCTACTTCGCCGCCGAAGAGGCCAACGTGTAAGTGTTCCCTTGGTTTTCTTCAGGAGATCTCTCTTTCTAACCGGCTGCCGGTTCCTGTTTGAGTAGCACCCTTGGGTCACAATGAGATGTCTTCCTCACGTACTCCAGTACGCTGACTGCTTTTTTTTTGTGTTTAGGTTATCCTCTGGCCCCATCAGTTTATTAAAATTAGTCTCTAATAAGCAAGCTTGTGATCTTCAGGCTCACAAAAAAAAAAAAAAAGAAAAAAAAAGGGGGGGGAAAAGACAGCCCTTGAAATGTCGCAACTCGGGAGCAGCTGCGGCTAAGCCGTACCTCTGAGAGGTGGGAACTGGCCCCGCTGTCAGTCAGGGGTTGACCTGAAGCTTAGCGATAGCTGAAACCTCAACCCTTTGAATACAACACAAGACAGGATCTTGTGCCAAGGTACAGAGACCGTAGGTCAAACCTTTTTCCTCTTCCGAGAACAAATCTGAATGACTTTCAAGGCCAACGTGGATCAGCTGTGTGTGATCCAGGGTTAATACAATTACCGAACATGCTTGATTTCAGAAAAAGGATGCTATTACCTCTGTGTTTTGCCATAGTAACAGTTACAATAAACACTAAAACCAGTTTAAAACTTGGGAAAAGCAAATCTCCAAAGAGGACTTGAAGCATTCAAGCTAGTGCATCTGAAAAACAAAAAAAAGGTTGAACAAAGTGGAGGTTTTTTACTAGTGCGGGAAGAATTTGGAGCTGAAATGACATCAGCTTCATCAGAAAACTGTATCCCACTCCTACTGGTGCCAAAGAGGGAACTTCCCATCAGTTTAACACACTCAGCGTGAAACATGAGCAGCATATTAGCATCATGAAAACACTGTTTTCACCCATTTTAATGGAGCTTGAGAGGTTCAACGTCAGATAAAAATATAGTTAAATGTTCTCGAGTCTTTTCAAATGACTAGACCTCACTGGCAAAATTTGCCAATAAACATATAAAACTAATAATGTGTATTGGTTGCTTTGTTCCCTGAGTCCCAAAGCATGAATTCATAACCTGTCTTTCCCAAAAGAGGAGTAGTGTTTTAACTGTGTTGAAATATTTCAGGCTAGATGTACACTCCGTGCTTTATGCTCTAGGGGAAAATCTAATTAATCCTGCGCAGAGCAAGTCTTGCGCTTTCCAACAGCCGTGTATCTTAACCGATCCTGTGGACGTCCTTGTAAGATTAATTTTGTGTGGTCTTTCATTCAAACTGTAGCCCAGAATGCTTAATACGTTTTAATGAGTTTGGTTAACATCTCCTTCCAAAATTGAGAGACAAACAAAGAAGTGTTTTCTGATGACATTTGAAAAGAGACGGAGCCAGCGATGCAGAGCTGCAGGAAGGTTGTTCCAAGTGGCAAGATGTACAGAGGAAGAGGCTTCTGCCCCAGCGAGGGTGGTGGGCCGTTGCCAAAGTACCGTGAGAACTGGGTGGGCGAGGGAGAGATGAGGTCAGCTGGAGAAACTCCATCAGGAGTTCGAGCTGCTCTGTCTGGATCTGGAAATGCAGAGGGGAGTCGGGACTGGTAAGAGAAGGGAAGAGGAGAAGGCAAGGGGTGTGCTAGAGGGTGAACAGCGTGGTGGGGCCTGAACGGGAATCGCAACGAGCCGAACGCTAACGATTCCGTTTAGGTAGAGCACGTGCAACTTCAGCTAGATCCATAGATGGAGGCGATGGAGAGCTGGACCTCTCCTGATCACAGTTTAGTTTCTCATTACGTGGCATTGAGACAGATAACAAGTTTCTGGCTAAAGCTGATGTCTCAGAAGGACATCTGTTCTTGCTTTTCAGGTTCAAAAGACAGAGACTCTCACTTCCTCGTGGTTAGCTCAAACGTTTAATTGTTCTCACTGTTTAAAAATGTGTGTGTAGCGGCTTGTTTTGAAATTATATGCTTTTACTTCTTCAGATATTAAATGCCAGCCACTTTCTCAACTGAGTGAGGGCCACAGGCTATGCAGTGCTCGATTATTATTAATTTTTTTAATTATTATTTTTAATTTTTTTCTATTTTCTCTCCTCCCTGTAAAAATGACTTTTATGTTTGTACAAGGCCACTTCTCTTCCAGATCAGAAAAAGCTCAAAGTCTTTGCCTGTCATTATAAACCATTTTCCCAGTAGCTTTATCATTCTCCAGGTTTTCAACATCGCACGCTAATAACGCAGACTAAAGTGTTCCAGCATTTGGCTCCCCACTGACACGAGCAGAAATAACATCTCTTTCTATAGAAAGGAACAACTTAGTCCTCTTGCCTTTGTACAAAACTAAGTCTGTTCTGTCCATACAGTTTTTCCCAATTAAAGTTGGGATCTCAAGGAATGAGATTAGGTTGGTTTGACAGGACCTTTTTTAAGTGTTTAGTATTAATTATATATCTGTCTTTTAGACCTTACTGAATTATCCAAACGTGTTCCGTCTCGTTAGCTAGTATCTTCTCTGTGGTGTTTTAACCGAAGGCTTTTAGCAAGGTCTGGATGGGGTGATGCAGACTAACTTGGCCTATGGTTATCTGCCTCTTCTTGCTCTTTTTTGTGTTGGCATTCCATAAAATACCCTGCCAGCTACTTGAGTTATCTAAAAATCTAAGACCGTTAATGGAAATTAAATATTAGAAGATAGGGTTTTTCATAATTTCTGGCTTTGATTTTTTCCATTTGGTTTTTGTTTTTAATGTTGCCTTCCTTTGGCTATTGAATTGAAGCAGATTTTAGTCAAAGTTGTCCATCATCCATAGTAAAAAAGCTAGAATTTCATTATCAAAGAGCTGTTTAAAATAAGATTCTGTTGATGTTTTTCAGTCTGCGATTTTTCCTTGATCAACTTGGTGTATGGTTTTATTCTGCTTTGAGAAATACAGACGCGTTCCTGGTTTAGACTGTCCTCTGTCTCTGTGGAATGTAATCAGGTCATGGTCATTGGTGTTTGCCCAAAGGCGTAGTTCAGTTTATCGATTGATTTTTGGTTTTATACAATTATAATAGGGACCAAAATACATGCAATAATGTCTGTGCAAGAAAGTTGGCATTGGTTAGAACTGATCTAGCAATAGTAGATGGACAAACGTGGCTTTGCTTTTGCTGTTTAGTAAAGAAGGGAGCTGTGTTTTTTTAAGGAATTCAATTGGGACGGGATTAAAATAACGTTACTGAGTGCTGTCAGATTCAGAGAGTTATTTTCAGAAAAAAAGCAAAATACAACCCATCCCTCAGGTGTGTGGCAGCATCGAGTGGTGAATTGATCCTTTTGCTGGAAAACGTGAGATTTGCTGTCGTAATGAGAAGGGCCTCAGGCAGGCGCTCAGACGGAGCGGTTAATTCCTCAGACACTTTATTTCCAGCGGCACGTGAGAAATGGGGACTGTGGGTAAAGAGGACCGTCGGGATGTGAGGAGCTGCGGAGAGCCCGGGGACTCCGGACTCCTCGTCTGTGTAAACTGGCGCCCGCTCTCTGAAATACTAATCCGCGTGTTTTCTATTGGGCAGCTATCAAGACGGACGCAAAGCCTGCAGATGTGAAGAAGACCTCCGCAAAGTCACCATCAGGTAACTTTGTTCAGTTTCCATCTACGGCAAATCCTCCTTGTTGGGGGCTGTGTTTATTAAGCGGACCACTGTACGTCTTTAGGACTCCGAGGACGTTTGTGTGAATGGCACCTGACCCATCTTTTTCCCCCCTTTCCCTTCAATTATCACTGTGATAATTGTAGCAGACTTGAGCCGCCCTAAGAGCGCTACTGGAAACGCAGTGAAAAGTAGTGCCACCACTCCTTCTACCACCGCCTCCAGCGCGCCTACCTTACCTGGAGTAGCTACCAGTCGTCCCAAAACCAAGCCTGCTGCAACCAAACCCACCACAACCTCAACCCCAACAGCAGATGCTAAAAAACCAACCACTAAGGCTCCGACTAAACCCAGCGCTGTTTCCAAGCCACCTCGCCCGACCAGCAGCGTTTCTGCTCCAGACCTGAAAAACGTACGTTCCAAAATCGGATCAACAGATAATATTAAGCATCAGCCTGGTGGAGGAAAGGTAAGTTTCCTCAAACTCGGTAACGATATGTGCTTTGGAACGGTAGCTCTTAAGCATTAGGGGTGCTCTTTGCTAATTTTGGTGGCTGTATCCTCACTGCTCTTCTCATTTATGCTCTGCAGAGCTCCTCTTTGGGTTCTTGGTTTATGCACAAGGCATTAACAAGGCAGCGACAATAGTGTACAGAAGGAATCCGCCTTAAGAGCCTTCATGGTCTTTACTGGCGTACGTACAGGAATTCAGAACTCCATGGGTCTGTTTTTCTGTCGTACGTCCTGACGTAGAGACCAGTTGGTATTGAAAGCTCAAAACCTTGTCTATATTCCAAAACTTTGCCTCTGAAGAGAGGAATCGAGTCTGCTGAATGGTACAGAAGGTGGAATAACGCACTACGATGCAGGAAATCTGGATTCAGAAGCAAGTTCCACAGCACCTTTCCCAGGTCTAGGAACGGGGACTCTGTTCAAGTCGTCAGGCCTAAAGCTGAAATGCAGTGGGTCTGCGTACGCTGCTCTTTGGATGGCCACAAGAAAAGGAGAGGGTAGTGTTGGATCAGCTGTAGGGAGAGGCGTATACGTAGATAAAACTTGAGGCTCTCAATCGGTAACGGGCTTAAATTACACATTCACTGTGAATATTAACCGTGTAAACGATAAAGGTTTAGGGATAGACCTGTAGCCCTCTTCTGAGGGTTTAAATAATTTTGTGGATATGCATAATCGTAAAAGTTTTATTGGCTATTGTATAACAGATACACCCATCTTTACCTGACCAAATGAGTTAGCAGCTCGCCCGTAGTCAGAGGGCTTTAATTTCCACAAAGTGGAACGAATTTGCCCACTTACCTTTGCTGCAGGTCTGCAGTAATGAATAACTCGGGATAGAACTCTAACCTGATGCCAAGAGAGCACGTTTCATGCTGGGAGCCTTAATCTCCTCTCAGGCACGTTAGTCGAGGGCGTTCTTGGGCTGTGATGATGCATGTCACAGGCAGCATCGATGTAGCATCGATTTATTCTTCAGCGTTAGGAGTATCTTAGTTGTACAATATCGTAGCGCAGTCCTCGGAGCTTCGAGCTCTAGAGGACAGAAACTTCCACTCCCCAAACCAGAGTTTCTGGAAATGACAAAGCAAGTCTGCTGAAAAACGTGGAAGCAAGCAGGAGGGTGACCCGTTCGTATGCTGTATGTTGTAGCTTGAAACCAAACAGAAGTTCAGAACGCCGCCTGCCATCTGGTCAAAAAGAACACGTAAGGTTGTTCTGTTATTTTCAGCTGCGCTAGGGTTGTGAGGACTGCAGAGCTTTTTAGCTTACAGGGTCCTTGTGTCAGCTTAAGGGAATTTATTTAACAGTTTTAAAAGAATTGTCCTTTTCATAGGCTTATTTACGCTGGGATGGTTTTAAAGTATGAGAATGCCTTAGGAATGCTGGGTTGGTTTTAGTTTCCCACTCTGTTGCTAGTAGGTTAGTGAAATACGGGATTTATGCTGACCCCCACAAAAAATGCAAGTTCTGCTGCTCTTATCTGGATCCAGATTAGCAGAAGAATGGATATTCTAATGGATATTCTCGGGTAGTTTTTTTTCTAAAAACCTGTAAATTTTCCTTCAGTTTTCTGCTTAGCTGGATTAACCAGGCCCACCTCCATTTCCCAGACTGGTTTGGGTGGGCAGGGACCTCCCAGCCCACCCAGTGCCACCCCTGCCATGGGCAGGGACACCCTCCACTAGCCCAGCTTGCCCAAAGCCCCATCCAACCTGGCCTTGACCACTGCCAGGGAGCCAGGGGCAGCCACAGCTTCTCGGGGCAACCTCTGCCAGGGCCTCACCGCAGTTAAAAACTAAGTCAGCCGCTGATCTCAAAGCCTGAGTCAAATCGGTGTGGGTGGGAAATGCGAAATGGAAGCACAGTGTATCTGTATCCAGCAGAGCTCTTGGAGCTCCGAGGCGAAGAGAACCAGCCAGTGGATGTGTTTGCCTCTAAGACCTGTATGATGTCCTCCCCCGTGTGAAGGAGGTGGTCCTGCGCTGCTGCTGGGTTACTAAAAGATTGGGTTTGATTTTTTGGCAGAATAGAATGTACCGGGGTCACCTGGAGACCTGCCATCGTGACCGCTGGGGAAATGCCTCGTGAAGGGCACCTACGAGCTTTCTGAGAAATGGAGAACTTAATTATTGCTTTATGACCCCAGGGTGCCTGTTTCATCCCGTGTCTGAGTGGTGCTGCTTCCCCTCCACCCCCTTAGCTTTATTGTTCCTGGGCATGGGATTATACTTTGCCTGAGAATTACAGCGTGTAAGAAGTTCTCCTGGGTTATCCGTGCCACTAAGTTTATCCGAGTAGCTTGTGTTCCCGTACTCCCCTGCCCACACTTTTGTTTTTGCTGGTTGAAATCATCCATTTGTCTCCATCTAGGGGAAAATAGAGAAAAAGCCAGAATCAGCCGCTGCTGCGCGAAAGTCTGAACCCAATGCGGTCTCTAAAATGGCTACTACTAAAACAACCGTATCAAAAGAGAGTGCCCCAAAACAGCCCAATGGGAAAGTGAGTTTATTTCAGACTTTTCTCTGTGGGAGATGAAGGCAAACATTTCCATTTTGAGTCACTCTCCCTTCTCTTCAACTCTTCTGCTTTCTCCTGTCAGTGTCACTCTTCCTTGCACAGACACTTTTCCAATTCTTTCTTGTAAACCCTGAGATGTTCTCAGTTACTGTACACGTTCCGAGATCACTGTCGTAGGTACCTTCTCCATGCCTGCTGTAAAAGTACATGTTTTCAGAGCAGAGTCCTCCGTTTTCACCTTGAGGTAGCCAGGCCTAACTTTGAGCCGGAGGTTTCCCTTAGGACCAGTTCTTTGCACACACCACTAGTTTGTAACGAGGGAGAGAGAGATTTAGTTCAGTGTCACTTGCTTTCGTTAAGATTGCAGAACAATAAGGATTTAATATATTTCCTGCAATATTCCCGGCCCAGTTGTGTCCCAACTCTTTGACTCCAGGCGTTAGGCGGTCACCACTTGATGGTCGTGACGTCGTCTTTCGTCACAAGTGGATGGGGGGGTGAGGTGCCCGCAGCGCTGCTTTAATTCGGACAGTATCGGGCAGAGCCTGTTAACGACGGGACGGGATTTGCAGCCCTAGAGAAGTCAGTAACGCATCATCAGCTGCCGCGCCACGAGTGCGTCTTCAGAGCTGCTGTTGCGCTGAATCCAGTCTTTCTGAACTGGCCAAGGAGCTTTTGGAAACCCACTGAAGCGAGAATGTTTTGGTGATTCCTTTTGTGCTTCGAATTTACCGCCTCGTTCTAGAAAGTACTCTAGATACAGCTTCTGCCACGTTTTGTGCTGTTAAATAACTCCCAGACTAAACACGTGTCGTAACTAACCTTTGTAAACACGGGCCTGTCACTCTAACTCGGTTACTACCTCCGTGAGTAAAAGCTCACTTAGCGTATTCCTTTTGCCTTTAGAAAAAGTCCAAGTCATTTTAATTTAAAGGAGAAACAATTCAATTAACATAAGACTCGTCCAATAAAATTTAACTGAAGGTTTGACAATCTTCATCAGAAGAATTGTTTCTCAGAGCGGGCTTTCTTGCCCGGAGGTTTTGAAAGACAGTACCCATGATCGGAGCCGATCCAGGCGGATGGAAGGCAAGTGCAGGCACGGAGCAGCTCGTAGTGTTGTTGGAAGTGGAGACCCCACCGCCCTGCTCCGTGGAGGAAGGCGGCAGCCGAGCTGGCTCTCCCTGCTCTGGGGCAGCTCTCTCCAGAGAGCTCCCAGGAAGCTTCCTGGGGACGTAGGTGGAGGCAGGCGCCCACCCGGTGATGCTGAGCCGTAGAGAATACGGAGATGCGGTTCTTCACGGTAGTGCTTACGCTCTCGCACTAACACTGTCTGTGCAGCCTCTCGTTTCGTTCACTTTTTTTTTTCCTCACTCTCCTCCTCAGTTGCTTTCACACCTAATACTAAAGTTGGATTGAGTTTAACACAACTCCTTGTTTATCCACCGTGTTAGAGCATCCACTCCAGCCTGCCGTATGACAACTCTAACCAGTCCTCTTCCCTTGTGTTGTTTTCCATTCTGTAACGTTCCAGGTCCAGATAGTCTCCAAAAAAGCGAACTACAGCCATGTTCAGTCCAAGTGTGGTTCCAAGGACAATATTAAGCATGTCCCTGGAGGTGGGAATGTAAGTATGGGCTCTGGGCAAGCTGTCTTTCTACTAACTCCTTCTCTTGTACTATGTTTTTATATGTCAGTCTTACGAATGCTGTGTTTCAGGCAGAAAGGCGTAGCAGAGTTTTAGGGCTTCTGGAAATCCTGTAGGCTGGAGAATTTATTATTTTTTTTCCCCCATGGGATGCTAGGTCGAACGTGTGCGTTCTGTTTCATACTACTACAAATACACCTGACCTATTTCTCGCGCGGTTTACGTGGTACTTCACGACCAAATGTAGGATGTGCGCATCGCTGACCCCAGGAGTTAGTTCCCCATGGATTCCCTCTGCAGTCAATGGAGGCACCTCATCAGGCTGCTGACCTAGTTCAGGTGTCTGATTTTTTTAGATGAAATGAATTGTGGCCTAGAAGTGCCCGGTGCTCTTCTCTGGCTACCAGAGCAAGCCTGGGTCAGATTAATTTCCCCTCTTGTTTCGCAAGACGGGAGACTTCGAAAAAGGAGGAGGAAAAGACTCTGGGACTTAATCTTTGAGCTGCAATTAATTTCTAAATTTAAAGGCTACTGGTATCTCTGGCAGCAGAGTTGAGCTTATTAAAATAGAAGGCTAATCTTGTAATGTCTGTGTGTAGGTTTGGAGTATTATATCCTGAAAGCGTCTGGCAAAACCCCCGCGTTAACTCTCTAGACACTAAAGCTTTTGAAACGACGACTCTGGTTTGGCAGGCAGATGGGCACTGCCTTAGCAGCTCGCTGCCGGGCTCTTCGTGCTAGGGGTAGTTTGCAGAAATACAAAGGTCAGATGGTTTTGAAAAGACGCTGAAGTACTTAAGCCCAAGGAAGTGTTTTTTCCACCGGTGTTTAAATACGCATCTTGCGACTCTTTCTCTGTGCCCAGTGCCAGCATCGATGAAACTCGGGGCGTCCTTGCTCTGTGTAGTGTTCCAGGCGCAAATATTCCATTTCTGGGCCAGACTTACTGTTGCTGTACAGCCAGCACGATCTGTTTGAGGCCCGGCTGGTGCAAACTGCTGGGGCCGCCGATCCTGGGAAATGTACGTGTGCTTGGCAGAACCTTCACACGGCCGGTTCTTCCGCAGATCTTCGCAAGAGGCAACCAAATCTGGATTCTCAACAAACTTGTTCCCCACCGGTGGGATTTACCGTTCTTATTTGATATTTCCGTGACTCCCCCAATGTTTATAGGAGTGCGTACACGTGTGTATGCAGCTTCCCGTAGAAATATTCATGCAGGAGAATTCTCTGCGCCATAGAAAGAAAAACTGATGCCGAGACAATGATAAAGTATTATGAGGGCACCTAACTGCCTTTTTTTTTTAAGCTATGCATGTTTCTGTTCCTAGGGCATATTTCATCTGGCTTTGTCACCCAGGCTTGGAGCAGACTGTACGCAGCGCGTGTTGTGCGGCAGAAGTCCCTTTGGCTGTGCTGTTAAAGAGCAGCTGCTGTAACTTCACCGTTCCCGCACGCGAAGCAGCTGTATTTTATAAGCCACTCTGATTTTGCCACTCCTACCTTGCATAGCCTTTTAGTGGACGAGTCTCGTGTACTTTTTCTTTTTTTTTTTTTTTTTTTTTTTGAGGCCAACAGAAACGTGATTTAAATGTGGGGGATGTTTTTCTTGCTTGCTTAACTACATTAGTGAACTGTTCTTCCCCCTAATGAATCACCAGCCCTGTCCTTTCTTCTTTAGTGTCCTGTGCTGGGGACATTCCCAGCTCTACAGGACGAGTGCGTGCCTGCTCGCTGCTTCTCTCCTTCCACGCTCTCCTTTTACCACTGCACTTTTTCTCCTTGCTCAACTACTTAAGCTTTTTGCTTTGAGAACAGCAACCGAAGTGCTTGTTTCCAGGTCCCGAATGCCCGCAGACCTGCCTCAGGCAGTCACTCCGAGCCACCCAGCGCCCCAACCCAGCGCTGCCTGTCCCACTCTGATGGCCGGTCTGGCTTCCTAGAAAAGCGTTTCCTTGTATTCACTTTTATAGCTGCGCACTCCCTTTGGGACGCTGTAATATTAGTGTCCTCTTCCAAAATCTTTTCTTGTTCAAATTGTTACGATGATCATTTCTGAGAGAAGACTTCCCGATGTTTAATTCCTGAACCACACTGCTGATGGGGATGTCTGGAAAATCCATTGTTCTGGTCTGTTGCTTCAGTAAAGGCTTTTAGGAATCCTGCGGGCAAGAGCTGTGGTTCGTGGCAAATTCCGATTCAGCTTTAGGGTTGCTCTTGTAGGAGCGATGACCATCTGCTAAGGGAGGTGGTTCCTAGCTGGTACACTCTGTTTGGGTACCCTTTTTGCCCTCTATACACACGAATAACTTCTCCCCTCCCACATACCCAAGGAGACACGTTCAAAAGCAGTAGATATTGTTCCTACTCACGTTGTATTTGCCAAAAAATATCTAGACGCAAACATAGTTGGATTTCCTGGGTAAAAGCTTTTGTTGTGCTTTGGTATTTTCCCCCTCTCTTTTTAAAGAGAGTACAGTAAAGAGGTACATTTTACAGAGCGCAGGTAGCGTACAAGTTGTTGAAGATTTAACAGGGTGATTTGGAATGTACATATGTTTCTCTGCCCTTTGGCTTGACCTGCTTAGATGGGTCGGGAAATGGTCAGAGATAGAAAAATCTTACAAGGGACGAGGACCGCACTTCCCACGCGAGCCTCTGCATCCAGCTTTCAGACCTAAAGTTTTTTTCTGGCACCCGAGTCTGAGTATTTGGCTCCATAAACGCAAGCCCAAGCCTTGAAGCGTGCCTCCCATTGCCAACTCAAACCAACTAATGTTAGAAACCCTCCCAGAAATACTCTTCCAGTTAGGTATCATTGTCTGGATCCCCAGAAGGAAACAGGAGGAGTCACAACTGGGTATGTCTACCCTAGCTGGTAACAAACATTATTAATTTAAAATGCCTTCTGCGAAGTAAATTTCGTTCCATTCCAGTTCCAAGCAAACAAGTACTCGTTATAAAAGCTGTAGTAACTTTACTAGCAACCCCTGAGAAAATCAGATTCAGTGGCCATGATCTCTCCTTTTCGGGGTGTCTGGCGTCACTGGCTCAGGGTACACGAACATGGAACAGCGTAGCAGGAGGCTGAACTGTGCTGTTCTACCGATTCTGAGCAAACAAGACATCAGGGCTTTGACTCATCCCTCTTCACAAGTACTAGGAGGATTCATGCTTCCTGAGAAAGATGTACTGCAAATTATCATGATAGTTCTCAATGAGCTTTTAGAGTAGCTGGTGAGTGAATGAATTCTCGTCACGTTCAAGAAGAAAGATGTTCGTTTTCTCTGCGAGATGATCTGTAGCAGAACTTTCTGTGCAGCTGGTGGTTGCTGACCCGACGGGGGGAGGTGATCCTCTTAACATTACTACCAAAAACCCCCAGATTTTTCCCACAGAAAGTTCTAGTGTCAACCTAGTAGGGGGTTAGATCAGATGACCAGAAGTTCCTTCGGTATAAATTGTCCTATGTTTGTATGAAATGAAAGATCTCCAAGTAGTTAGGCAAGAAGTTCATTCTGGAATAGAGGAATTTTTCACCCACCTGGAGCTGCAGGAGGGATCTTAAAGATGTCAGAAATGGGGCTCTGTACAGTGCGCTCTGTCCAGGTGTTGGAGATTAAATACTTTTTGAGCAAAAAGACCTAAAACCTGGGATGTTTTGACTCCACCTTTGTCCCACTCCAGAGGAGGCACCTCCCCCCAAATTCAAACCGATGTCCACAAACACCGCGCTAGAATATTTGGCTCATTGACTTGGAAGAAGGTTGTTTACTGAGTCATATCTCGGGATTTCCTGACTGCATCACCGTACGTTTTTTTCAGTGAAGGTTTTGTTTGCCAGTGTAGAGTCACTGGTAGAGCGATGTTAAGGGAAGTAATACTGGGGCGTAGCTTCCCCGCTCCCCGTGTTTTGTCTTTGAGAAGGATGCTTCTTCGAGTGGCTCGTTCCATCTGGGCACGATGATCCTTCCTGGTGTCCTGTTTCCGGCAGGGAGGACAGGCCGCTGAGAGGAGGCTGTCCTAAAAACAAAGCCTAAAGCCTGGCAACTAGCTGTGCGTCACTCGGCACGTTGGAGACGGTAGAGAGAAAAAGTTGGACCTGGTGGCATGTCCCTGGCTGAGTAGAGCCGTGAGATGACATCTGTCCTGGAGCTGCCCAGGCAACGGCCCGTGTCTTCAGAGGCAGAGCCAGCGCTGGGCAGAAACGGTCTGGGGATCATGGCCATGGGATTGGCTTTGTTTCGGTGCCTCTCCCAAGTGCTTTTCTATTCCACGAACGTGCCATGAACTCAAGACTCGGGTTTCTGGTTACCGTCCGTCTGTTAGTTTTATCTGGTCTGGATTTCTGTCTGCTCACATTAACCACTTCTGGCTGGGGCAGGACTTTGAGTAACGCTAAAGCTGAGTGTAGCGTTCGGCATGCAGCGGCTGGGAAATCACCAGGAGAAAATGATGCGGTAGGAGGGGGGTGCAGGTTCATTAAGTGTGACCTGACGTTTGAGATGGTCCGTGGGCCTCCAGATTCGCAGGAAATGTTTCTTTGTGTTGAGTTCTCTCTTTTTGCCTCTTCAGGTGCAGATCCAGAACAAGAAAGTTGACCTTTCCAAAGTGTCCTCGAAGTGTGGCTCTAAAGCAAATATCAAGCATAAGCCAGGTAGAAATTTTATTGTTTCCTCATGATTTGTTTGCAGAAATTGCAAGTCATTTAAATATAGTCCTGGATGGTGACTGAAATAGTTTAAGGGGTTTGTTGCTTTCAGGGAGTATTTCTAGAAGTACTGTCTAGCTGCTTAGCAATTCCTGGTGGTGTCATCAGTGGAGAAGAGGATTAGGAGATGTGGGGTTTCATCTTGCCTGAGAAGATAATCTCCTGCTTCAACTCAGTTCTCTTTTTTTTTTTTTTTCCCCTCCCCATATGAAGAAGAAGAAAAAGAAAAAAAAAAAAGAAAAAAAAAATAGGTGGATACTTAGCATGACTGTTCCAGGAGTCTGGAAGCTTACAGAGGGCTTTGGAGCTCCCCGAACGTGTCTGCTATGGAAGGATAAAGGAACTTCCCTCCAGTTCTTCAAAGCAGACACGAGGGTCTTTTTAGCCTTCAGTTCAGTAGCAGCTCCTGCCTTTGATATAAACCACTTCTGGCTCTTTAATGGCATGTTATGGCATGAGCGTGCAGGAGTGACGTGCTCCCCACCGAGAACACAGCACTGACTCTGTGTGAATTCCTGCGAATTCGGGTTTTGCAGCCAAGCAGTGACCAGCCCACCGCTCAGCTGAAGCGTGGGCTCAAGCCTCAAGTTCGAGGTCCTGCGGCTGCAGGCAGGTTGGTGGAACTGTCCCTTTGCAGCACCCTGAAGTACGGTCGGGTCGCTGACTGCCGCTGGTTTGGCCGTAGCTGAGGACAGTTACCTGCAGAGGAAAACTCCCGGCAGTCAAACGTGGGTGCACGAGGGACAAAGTTCGCTGGCCAAAGCTGAGAACAAACGCTACAAGCTTGTCTTTGTCTGCTCCTGCAGCTTCCTGCACCCTTTCTGCCAGCCGGTTCGGTTGAAAGCAGTTCAACCTCACACACCGAGCACCACGGTTCAGTGCCTCAAAACGCGCTCCCGCTTTGAGAACGTGGTGCCACAAACGTGACCTCTGTTAGTTCAGTGCTCTGTCATAACACGCTGTGCGCGACAATAACTGCTCTTGTCCAGGGCTGATTAAAGCAGATTAATCCATCCAGAATTACCCATTGTCAGATGTTTTCACTGATTTTGTTGGACGGAATCCGTTGGTTTCCATCATTGGCCATGCCAGGCTTCCAGAGTGCTGAGGACTGAGTATTTAATGCTGTCACTGGGACGCAAAGTTGTGCTTAGCAATACCTAAACAGGGTGTTTTTTTTGAGAAACCTAGTGGAATATGGACTGCACGTATGGTCTTATATTCATGGGAACTGCAGTGTTCTAGACGTAGGAAACTCTTGCTGGCAGTGTGTGGTTGTTTTCTGACCTTCGGGTTCTCCTGAACCTGGTGTCCATCCAGTGCCCACGCTTGGCTTCTCCCTGCCCGCATGGCTGCCTGCGGAGCAGTTCAGGCAGTGGGTCTGTGTCGCATGGAGGGAGCTGTCGGTCCAGGCAGCCACGCAACTGCCTGTGACGGAGTAGGAGTGGGAACGAAGCGAGTGAAGGAACGCAGTTAAGGAAAAGGAGCAGAATGTGTCCCAGCACCGACGACTACACAGATGGGCCGAGCTGGCAGGGACCTTGGCAAGGGGAACGGGGTGGCACTGGCATTTCCCATCTCTGCTGGGGGAGGCAGAGTCACCAGCAGGCGTAGGGAGGCAGCCGGCACGTGGGTATCTTGCAGCCTGTCTGTCCGGACGTGCCGTTCCCCGCCCGAGGGCACCTCCGGAGCTTGGCCGTGCAGCCCTGCTTGCTTGTAGGTCCAGATCACCAACTTGGATCCTGCTGGTTTTTAAACTGAACCTTAACTGGAGAGAGACTGAGACAGTAGATGTATTCCTCGGTCCTGTCCCTCCTCCGGTGGGGTCCCCAGCGGTTCCTCGGGCGGGACAGAACTCGGGTGGGCCCGTGCTGGAGCTGTTAATAACTCACTCCTACACAACCTTCTTCTAGGGGGAGGAGATGTCAAAATTGAGAACCAGAAGCTGAACTTCAAGGAGAAGGCGCAAGCCAAAGTGGGTTCTCTGGACAACGTGGGACACTTGCCAGCAGGAGGAACCGTGAAGGTGGGTGAAGCAAGCTCTGGCACATCAGGGTAGGGTTTAAATTTGGTGGGTTTCCTTGTCCTGCTGTTGATGTAGTGCGGCTTCTCCACCCCCAGCCTTTTATAGCCATCTGCTTATTTCTGTGGCCTCTGTTGTGAACCCCGGGAGTAGGTACGAGTTGGAAAGGCGAGAGCTAGGAACGCTCGGTGGCCTGCCCACACGGGCTCCCTGCTAGGTGTTACTCAGAGGGCTCGTGCTGCCCATCCGCACCCTTCCTCTCGGTCTGAGAGCAGGCACTGCTCTGTGAGCTGTGGGCCCATCAGAGAAGCTGCCTGTGGCCCT